ATAATGGGCTATTTTTGGAAATGAAGCATATAAAAAAACATAGAAAGGAAAAACTAATAAAATCCCTAATTAACTCATTTTTTGAAAAGTCAAACTTCACTAAAAAATTGCTACATAATAACAAAATAGAAGCTTTGGAGAAAATCAAGGGATTTCCAAAACATACCGAGCAGCGTTTTGCTTTTTATTTTAAACTAAAAAGCACATGTTAGCAACACTCTTGTTTTGCTGGCAAAGAATGTTGATATCAATTTTGATTAATTTAGAACTTCAAATAAGGTCATCAATTACAATGGATATGCAGAGATTCTAGAGAGAAAATGTTTTGAATTAGAGTACCTTTGAAAAAAGTCTTTTGCGTTCCATTTTTGTGGAAAAAAAGCTTGAAAAAACATGTAATTTAGACTTTTAGTTTCTCAGTGACTTGACACATGTAATTTGTCTTTTGATTCATGTGAGACACCTGCTTGCGAGCTTACACCTAAAATATTTTTTATATTTTTTAGAGTGTACATACATACACACAAGCACACAAACAAAATACATACACACACTTACATACATTTGTACAAATATACATACAAACATACATGCAGTAGTACATACATACATACACACAATTGTGTATACATTCATACACGCACAAATAAAAACATTTATACATACATAATTACACACATATATGAATACATAGATACAATAAAACATACATCCACAGACACATACCTATAAACTTACATACATATATACAAATATACATAAATACTTTTATACATACGAACATACAAACATACAATTAGTCATACATACAAACATTCATACATTTATACATGAATACATACATACACCCCAACATACGTAAATTCATATATACATACATACATACATACATACATATAAACATACATACATACATATATACTTACATACACTCAAACATGCATACATACTTACATTCTTACATAGATACATATATACATGCACACATACATATATACAAACATAAAATATACTATCATACAAACATACATACTTACATAAATACATACATACATACATACATACACACATACATACATACATACATACATACATACATACATACATACATACATATTTATATACATACGTGCATTTTATACATATATACTTCCAAACACACTTACATATATACATACAAACATACCCTTTATACATAAAAACAACAAATCGTTTATACGTACATACATAAAAACATAAAAATTAAACTTCATACTTGCCTTCAAACATACATACATACAAACATACATAAATACATACACAAAATTATAAATTAATACATACATATACACATACCTGCACACATACACACACATACACACATGCATACATGGATACATACATACTTACATACATACACAAAACGTGCTGTTTTAGCTTTTGAAAAAAAGAATACTCACTGAGCTCGCATAAGTTTTCTTTAAGCACGAAAACAAAATTTGATAACAGACTCAGCTCAAAATAAAGCTTACTTTTTGTGATCTACAGAGTTGATTTAATCATTATTCATCAAATAGTTAGTCACGCCATTTGAAACAAATCTTTGAAAGTTGGGATTTTTTTTGCTCGTCGAGAAGGGCGAGACAGTAAAAAAAAACCCTTTTTTGTCAAAAAAAAATTGAAATGTATCTATGCGGGGTCAAACCAACAGTCTGGACAGACTGAACATGCCAAAATTTGATCGCTCGACCCTTGATTGCCCTTTTCAAACCTTCTGATGGTTTTACTGGCTTTTTTCTAAACCGCTTTTACTCGCTTTTGAGCGGTTTTTTAAAGCAAGATTTGAGCGGTTTGAGCGGTTTGTCTTTAAAAAACGCTCAAAAATTGCTGGAAACCGCTCAAATCGTTCAAATCTTGAGCGGTTTTTGAGCGTGATCTCGACCCGGGTCTCCATCCCAGTAGATAAAAGCAGCCATTTAGCGGTATAGAACTTTTTTTTGTTAATACACTTACCAAATTTTCGTAACAATACCCCTTTATACGTTTTTATGGGTTAAATAGGAAATATAGTTTCTTTAAAAGTCGGATCAATAAACAATTGGAGTCTTTGATTTGAGATATTCTCGCACAGTTTCTTCTTCTGAAAAAGACTAAATTATTCCTCCTTTTTGTACTATATCCATTTTTGGCCCTTTGTTTTTTTGATAAGAGCACCTTTGCCAAACTATACTAATTTTGAAGAGGGAGCGGAGCGTTTGATGAAGAAGCACTAGACTTTTTGGTCAAAAAGTTCCCAAAAGTGCCATCAAATTTTGTTTGGCTCGTTTTTTTTTCAAAAATTTGCTTGCGTCATAAAAGTTTCATCCAAATAAGATCTTTGTACTGATTTGGGAGAGCTCAAAAAATCAATTTGGTCGACCTTAAAAGAGATCGACAACATTTTCGAAATATTTTGATCATCTGCTCCCCTCGAGAAAAGTCAATATCTGCTCTGTTCCAATTAATAGACAACATGGTTGAAGGAGAGTTGATAACGGGGCAATCTATATTCCTCAAACCAATTTCTGGAAGCGATGGTTAAAAATCTCCTTTTCTGCCAATCAGTAAAAGCATTTTACATTTTAGCTTCAGTGATAAATTTCATCGATAAAATTTAGGGGCTGATTGTTCGCTATGTATTCATAACGGAGAATTGTTCATTAGGGCCCTGGTGTTTAGTTTGATTTAGATCAAAAGTCTAAAAGTAAACTAATTTTGATAGTAAATTGTTTCCAGTTCAGGTCCATTTTCATCAAAATATTTTTTTAAATATTCTTCTTCATACGAGAAACCAGTTTGTGAGATCGTCATTTCACAAACTAAACCTGTTTTCAGAAGACTCTGAAGTCAAAAAAGCAAAAAAGAGAGATTTCAGTACGGATGTCGGTTTAGTACCACTGGTAAACTTTTTTGATACTCAATTTTGTATACTCAAATTTCAAAATTAGAAATTTGATTAAATTGTTTCGTTAGAAATTTGACAATTTTTGAAGCAAATGTAATCATTGGAGAAAATCCGAGGTAAACATACGAGAGTAGGGTTTAACGTGCGGGGTAAGAATGAAAGAAAAATTGTGACGAGATTGTGAGAAAACATGATCATTTGTTTCTCAGCCAAAGCAAATTTCTTTTTTTTTACAATTTATTAGCAAAACGTGTGTTAAGCCTGTAAACTGGCATCTAGTTTCAATTGCTATCAATCAATTATTTTCTGAATTTTAGTACCAGTTTTTTTAAACTTGAGAGAAAATGATTTTGATGAACTAATAATCTATTAAAATCTCTCTTTGAAAATAAATACAATCAATTATAATACATTTTAGTCAACTATAGCCAATTGTTAATCCATCAAATTTCGATAAAGTTATAATTGATTATAATCATAATTTTCTGTTTCAGCAAAAATCCATTACAGTCAACTATAAATAATTATAATGCTCTTTTTGTTTGCTCCTTTTATATTCGACTTGCATTTGAATTGCCTAGCTTTTCTTAGACGTTGGTTTATGCCAAAAAGGGGAAGGTCGTTTGAATTTTTTTCTAAACAAATCAAACTTATCTAATTTTTTAAAACTTTTTCTCAATTAGAGTTGTTTCATTTGTGCACATATTTGGTTTTTCAACCACCAAAATATTAGCTTTAGCTTCCAGTTTTTTTAGAAGAGTTAGTTTTCACCTACCGCGGAAATTTTACAAAAAGGAACCTCTATGTAATTTTTTTTGTGGTAAGATTTTGTTCTCGGATGAACCAAAGTGTGACAAATCATCTCACGTTTGAGTGTTTTGCTATTGACAGAAAAATAAAAGCTCATAGGTTGTATTCAAAACTCTTTTTTGGTGTGACTTTTTTTTGGCGAACTAAGCTATTGTTATCAATTATTATTTATTATAATTGATGTAAAGTGTTTTTCTGTATGAACTACAATCAATTATAACTGATAATAAGACAATCGTATATAACACAAATCCAAGTTTGAAAAATTGGGCCTGTGTTTGAATATTTGAAATAAATTTGAGAAAACCTTTATCATAATACTTGATAATTGACAAGGCTAAACTGAGCATTTTGTGAATTGTAAGCGAATTCCGCATTAAGGACGCTACTTTTGTTTTTCTTTTGCTCTTTCATTTTCTTTGATTTTGACATGTTTAAAGACTTGTCGAATCCAGGAACATACAGACATAAAACTGGGGTCTAGGACAAAAAGCCGACGGGACTTCAAGCCAAAGGGACTTCAATCCGAAGAGACTTCAAGCCGAAATTAAAACTTTACAAGCACCCCAAAACGCTATTGTCAGCTGCAAAATGTTGCTTTTCTAAAACTTTGGCAATTTTAGTCCATAATAAGCGTTATTCATGACAATGCACCACTTGTGATTCGCATCCGTTAATAACATCAGCCGGTTTTTGAAATGCATAAATTATAAACATGAAAAATGCCTTCAACCATGTTTTACTTTTCAACTTTCCGGAACATCTTTTGGAAGCTTAAATTATATGCAAACGCCAATAACTAGTGAAGAAAGATCATGAAATTCAGAAATTCTTCAAAAAGTTTTCAAATTGTTCATATTTCACGACTTTATAAGGAAATATTCGGCTTGAAGTCCCTAATTTTACAATTCGGCTTGAAGACCCGTCGGCTTGATGTTCGGCACCCATAAAACTGTGCTCCTATCCAGTTCGATAAAATTGGTTTCCAATGTTTTCACAAAAGTTTATCATTTTTTGTCGATTATAATGAGTTATTTTTGAGTTTTGATGAGACTGACAATGAAAATTTGAAGTAATCGATTATAATCCATGAAACTCCAGAGCGGGTCATATGGTCAAAGATGGGGCGAATGATCATGCCGAAAGAACGGATTTCCCAAAAACTATATGTTAACAAAAATTGTTTAAATTTTTTGCACATTTTGTGTCCCTTTTTCCTCAAAGATTAGTCTTAACTGACATCTTCTTAACTGAGTGTTTTTAACCCGGAATTTTAAAAGAAGAGTATCTGGACTACATAGAGGAGACGTTCAAAAGCGGAGATTGGCCGGAGCAAGATAGGGTAAGAGTCCTTTTTTGACCTGACGCTGCCCCACTTCTAGAAGTTTATGCAGCTTAAAAATGTTTGCAAAAAGCACATAAAGAGAATGACAATGTGTGCGATCCACTAGCTTTAGTTTGCACCAAAACATTGTCCTGTTGTTCTGGAAGCTTGAAAACCTTGCCAAGATCTTGAAGAATCTTCAAGGATTTATCAAAACTGGCAAAGAATTTTAAAAAGATTTTATGTGTTTATAAGATTTTTAACCGTAGAGCTTCATTTTGTTTCGACTTCCGAAAACATAAAGCAATTTATGAGCGGATATTAGTCTTATCGATTAGTTTTGTCATAAAACATTGTATATTAGTCCGGCTATCTAAGTCATAGTCGCTCTAGAGGTTCCTTGGTCTCAATAGATCTGGGCGAAAAAAAAACAGGTTAAGTAGAGTAAGTAAATACAGGAATGAGCTTTAGGCCAATCAGCCAAATAAGTAGTCTGACGGATAGGTCGTTGAGCTTAAAAGAAACTAAACTAATACCTATGGAACTAAGGGTAAAGAACAACTTGTCAATAACGTAATAATCCACGTGATGACTCTTTCTTTTCATTTTTAGACTGGTGCAAGTCGCTCAGTCTCTTTGAATATTAAAAAAATTTCTCGCATTCCCCCCGCCTCCAAGGGGAGTGCGATAAAATAAAAGCTGACGATACTAATATAAATAACTAAGTTTACATAAACAATGCTTCACAAACCAAAATTTAATGTCTCATCAATTATCCAAATAAATTAGGGATATGAGTTCCTTTTTCTTTTTCTTTTGTTTTTATCGAGCCAACCCTACTACTTGGTGTCCTCAACTTCAGTTTCCTCATAATTGTCACTTTTTTCATTTCTTTCAGTCACTGTTTCCTGTGCCTCCGTCTAACTCCCTCCGTCTCTCTCTCTCTCTCTCTCTCTCTCTCTCTCTCTCTCTCTATCTCTCTATCTCTCTATCTCTCTCTCTCTCTCTCTCTCTCTCTGTGTGTGTGTGTGTGTGTGTGTGTCTCTCTCTCTCTCTCTCTCTCTCTCTCTCCATTTGTGTCAATTCTTGACTATGTCACAGTCCTTTCTTCAGTTATATTTGTGAATGGTTCTTCGCTTGAGCTGGTGAGTTTTCTGTCGAAATGATTTGTTGTCTACTTTCGCTTTCTTTGTTCTTCCACTCCTCCTTGCTGCTGTCACTTGAATGTTCGCCTTCTGAGGAGTGGTCTGATAGTTCCTTGTATTGGTACTCTGGGTTCATCTCCTCTTTTTTGTAGGCTCTGGGTGGCTTCATCATCCTCATTATAAGCGTCCAGTTATGCTTTGAGGAGCATTGTAGAGGTCCATACATCATGATATCTGAAAGCTAGTCCACATTCATGGCTTTAATCGAGCAGTCTGACATTTGGTTTTCTGATTGGACAAATAGAATATCGACCTTTACATAGTAGCTTAGTGACCTTATATATGGGCTACATCTCTTCTGCTGGACTTGCTTTTTGATGCTTTGTTCTTGGGCGAATAAACTGCTGTTCTGTCACTTTGCCATCGGTTTTTATATCGTTTTCTAGAGGCCCTGTCATAAGTCTCAGCATAATCGTTGTCGCTTCCTGGGTTTATAATTTTCCACAATCAGGTTCAGTTTCCGTACAATTTCAATATTTGGTCTGGTGTTCAGTGAAAATGAAAATTTATTTAGTTTGTTTCCTAGGTCTGGTCGTGGTAGCGTCGTTGCCCATTGAAGTTGTCCTATCAGACTTCGCATTGTGTCACTTGTTCAGGTGTTTTGCCGGTCTCGTCAATGCTTGTGATTCCTTGGATTTCGTTGATTTCTCCACATTTGCTTGCAGTTGGCGTGAGAGTTAATCTTTCGCAGCGCCTGCTCTCTTGGTCTGTATCAGTGTTGATCTGCAATCCCAAACCTTCAAAATTTGTCTTCTTCTCGGGTCTTGTGCTTATCCCTAGTAATGTTCTGTTCACTTAGGTGTGGAATTCATCACTGCCTGCTAGCTAGCATCATTTCATCTACATGTAACGATAGTAATATGATGTTTCTGCATTGTTGGTCAGTTGCGTAAAATCAGCAGTGATTCCCACTTGGTCGAGTTTTCTAAAAGTGACAGTATACCAGTCCACTGCTGCATCTGCTAGTCTAGATGCAGCAACGTTCAATCTCCACAAAATCCCAATGGTTGTCCCTGCCTCCCTTGATGGTGAAATTTAGACTGGTCGACGAATGCCGTCCGAATACAGAAAGATTGTTTTGACATCGACAAAGCACGGGGCCTTTTTTGTGAGCCATCATCGCGGTGGCAAAGTACAATGCCGACTTTGAAATTATTGGCGCGTAATTATCCAAGAAAATATTTTACTTCTTCTCCAAGTCTCCTCTGATTGAGAGTCTGTTTTTGGCATCCTGGCAAAATCCAGTGCCATTTTCCATTTAGTCACCCATCTGCATTTGCTGACCTAGTGTCCGTTTTTGATGGTCTCGAATGCTGGGACTTTCTTGGTTACTCCATACAATTTCCGTGCTTTTAATTCCTCTCGTCTTGCGCCTTCCAAATGTTCCACAATTTTCCAACTTTTCTTCTTGGCTTATTTCATTTGCTGCAAATAGGTTAGGTATTCCGGAGGGAATTGAATCTTCATGTTTTGTAAAACTCGTATTTATTCATTTGCACCACTGGTTGCTGGTGACTTGTAGTTCCTGATGTCTTACTTGATCTTCTTCACTGATGTTTTCTTTGTTGATTGTAGCCTCCATAATGTACCGCATCATCACCAATTCTTTTTTTTCTCGGTTCGGTCTCTATGCCACTTCTCCTGTGTTAGGGCTCACTACAATGTCTTTTGGTCTTCCTTGTTTCGTTTGTTTTTGTTGTTATTGGGCATCTTGGTTCAATCTTTGGCCAGTTGATATTCTTGATGTTTTATTTTTCACCACTATCCGGGCCCATTCAGTTTACATCTCTGGTATTTCGGATTGATCTATGCTATCCAACTCTTGGTCTGGGATTGTCGTGTTGAGCTTCTTAGCTGCTCTTTCTGGGATTTGTCTGGTAATTTTTAGTTTTAACTTTTCTTTGAAGTCCTTTTTCTGTAAGGTCTGTCGCTCCTTGACTGTCGCTCTTTTCGGGGGCCGATCCTGTTTTCTATCACTTTGAAGCACTGTATGATGGACTACGCAACTGTTGTCATCGATCTTGCTAAGTTTTTCATATCCCAATGGTCTCACAATGGTTATACATTTACTGGCTCCGTATGGGGTTTTGGGTGGTTGCTGGGAAGTGATTGTAATTTCCGGTATTGTTTTATTTCATCTCCGTTTTTTGTCAAACTCTTTCGTTCTCTCTGGTCCTAACCATTAGAACTTTAAAATGTATTCTTTCCGTTTGTCTTTGTTTTGGCGTAGTTCGCAAAGGTTATCCTCATGTAATTATCATATCATTAAGGAATTTTGAGTATCTATTTGCAGGCCCAGCATAATCAGATAAAGTTTTATCCGTTCCTTTTCCATAAATATGTAAAAAAAGGAACAACTTTTTATACTTTTCGAAAACTCCGACAAATAACTCTTTCAAAATAATCTCAAAATCACTTACTGTTTCTGGCTTCTGTTAAACTTGTTTCGAACTGTACATACTCTGACACTATTTTCTTGTTCTGTTTGTTCTATTTTGACAGCATTCGTTCCGAGTGAGCCTTCTATCTCATAAAGTTCTATTACGTCGGAAATTTCAGCTCTGATACAAGGTGTTTTGTTTACTCGATGCGCTTGAACTTTAAACATGTCAATGTTCTTCAGTCTGATGTTCTCCATCTTCAAATTTCGAAATTGTAATCAAGGGCCAGATGTTGCCTGTTTTTCTGATTCGAGATGTTTATGAAAATTATAAAAGGTTGCTTTAATCTGTCTCTAACATTTAATGTTCTTGTGATGGGTGTTAGATGAGGTTGCCGGGTCTGTTGGTGCCCATTCATCTGCTTATTTGACTCTGGTAAAGTGTGCATGTATAATTCTTTTTTCATGGTTTATCATGATGTTTGCACAATCCCCATGCTTCATCCATGCTTTACGCATGCTTTATTCTCTACTCCATGCTTTATCAAGACTTTTATCATAATGTTTGCACTAACACTACTTTTGCAGGACCTAACCATGTTTCGTTTTCAGAAAATGTTTTTTTATTATTACCACATCACGTGGTTTTAATTTATTGAAGGTTGACATTCACTCTTCCTTTTAGTTTTTCTCTCGTTTTCAGCATTAACAAATGCTTTCCTAATTGCTCTTGTTGTGTTGAGATGTCTTTTTAAGTTATTGAATTTCTTGTGCTCTTGCATTATCCAAACACTTTGAATATTCCTCTTGATTTATTTTGTTAATCGCAGGATTTGCTAAGTTCACTCTTCGGAAAGATGATACGTCTTATACGTCAAGCAGCATGTTCTTTGGCAAAATAGCCTATGTTAATTACTTTTTTTGTTTCTGATTTTTTTTTCAATCTTGATCTTGATCCGGTTTTTACATACTCTGACGCTAGTTTTTCGTTCTGTTTTACTCTATTACGACAGCTTTCGTTCCGAGTGAGCCTAATATCTCATATGTTGCGTCAGTTCAGGAAATTTCGACTTTGGTGTAAGGCGTTTTGTTTACTTGATCCACTTGAACTTGAAAGATGTCAATATTCCCCAGTCTGATGTTCTCCATCTTCCATTTCTCTAATTGAAGATTCGAGCTGTTCATGACAATCAAAACAGGATGCAGTGGTCTGGCTCTAAAATTTCATATCTTTGTGATGGGTGTTAGATGAGACTACCGCGTCTTTTGGTGCCCATTCTTCTGCAAATTTGACTCTGGTATACTCTGCATGTACAATTATTTTTCCATGTCTTAGAATGACGTTTGCACAATTGCAAATATCACTACTTTTGCTGGACTTAACCATATGTTTTTTTCGTAATTTTTCTATGTTATCTTACAACATCACGTGGTTTAAACGTTTTGAAGGTTAACTTTGACTCTTCTTTATTAGCTTTTCTCTCGTTTTCAGCCCCATCAAATTCTTCCCTAATGGCTTAAATCGTGCTGAGATGTTTTTTTTAGGTTACTGAGCGTCTTGTGTTCTTGCGTTATCCGAACACTTTGAAAATTCCTCTTGGTTTTTTGTGCTAATTGCAGGATTTGTAATGTACACTCTCTGGAAAGATGACACACATTTACGTCATGCAGCATCTTCTATGTCATAATAGCATATGTTAGAATTACGCCGTTGTTCTTAATCACACTGTGGTCATTTTACTTTTCTTCATGATGATTTTGAGTATCTCATTTTGTCTCTCTAGTACCCTAGAAAAAAGAGCATAACCTGCTGTGGTGTTTTTTTTGCATCCGAATCATGAATTCATTAGTAACATGTGATCATTGTTAAATTCTCCCCCGAAGTTCTGCAGAATTGTTTGAAGAGCCAAATTTCCTGAACTAACTCATAATTTTGGCACTCAATATGTTTTTAGGTTCTTTTGATGTCATACATGCGTCTACACTCAGTATCGAGAATTCATTCACCATATGCAATATATAAAATTTTATCTTGTATAGTGTCAATCCACTCAGTCAGATCTATTGCTTTACTTTGATTAAAATCAATACTTATTTGGGTTGAGAATTTGTTAATCTTTCTGACTCTGATTGATGTTTGCACATTCATTGCACGTGTGCCCAATTTTTTGAATCTATTCTTCGATTTGTTCGTATGATCGTGATGAACTCTCGGTAACCAAGGAGTTGTCAATAAAGTTTCCTAATTTCTCATAGGATTTTTATCCAAATCTCATGCGTAAACCGGCAATCCTCTTCAGATTAGTTCTTTGATTCACTATCCTATCAGTAAAATAGAGATTTTCAATCATTTTTCCAGTTACTGATGCTCTAATTGCTTTTTGTGATAAAATTCTACTTTCTTTATCGATGACCTGTTTCTCTTCTCGAAATTGGGAAGCTGTAAATTTCTTTGAGATTTATCGTCCAATTTCTATTACTGAGTCGTTTTTCTGATGCTTGAATACCAAATAGACATGGAATGTCATCAGCAATGACCTATATCTTAAGTGCCAAACAGTCGCGGGTAAATGCATTAGGCATATCGCTCTGATAGTATCACCTCTTCCTTATTCGAAACTGTGGTCGCTTTCTTGATAGATATCACAGTTTTTGCTGGGTCAATTATAAATTTTGGTCATTTTGATGTTCTTTCGTATCAATCAATTTTTGATTTTTTTTCACCTGAGAAATGGATTTTATTCAAATACCACAATGGCGATATGTCTTGCTCTTGGTCTTTCGATTGTTTTTCTGGAGTGTTGTTCTTGGTCAACGTGTTTTGATAATTCGTTTCTTCTATACTCTGTTCATTTTTTTCCGAATTTAAATCAGTCTGTTGGTATCTACTTCCATATGCATTGTTTTGTTGGTAACTTGTGCACCTGCTGTTGTAGTGGTTGCTGTTATACCAAGATCTTCCTCTACAATTTCCTCTCTGCTGTTCAGGTTTTCTGCAGTTAATGGGAGAGTGTTATCTACTCCACAGTTGTAACCTTTAATGGTGTTTTGTTGACTCTTCCCCTGAATTTCCACCTCCTCTGTTTCTAGAAGACCCTTGAATTAACATGACGTCCCCTGTGTCTGTTCGCTGGTGGCTGTGACTCTCCTAATAGTGTGTTCTATGGTGGTCGGGTCAATTTGATCATCTCTGGATTTGTTTTTTGGCGACACTTTCTTGTTTCTGCTTTGTACTTTATTTAGTATTGGAACATCACATTAGTGTGATACAGTAAAGCGACGTATTTTTTTTCCTTTATTCTCCGTTGTTGATAGCAACGGATTCGGCAGCATGTATTCATCCAGTACGCGTATGGGATTATCTACCCGTCACTGTTTCACTGTCTTATGCCATATCTTTTTCTGGTTTTTGAATGCCGTTCATTACATTATGTTATGAGCTGTTTCGTTTCGTTGGGCTAAGTTCTGAAGTTGTGTTGTCATCCTCTTCAACTGTGTCTTTAATAAATCAATTTGTGTTCTTTGATTCTGGCCTCCTGATTAATTCAGTGCCGAATGGTCAGTGTCCCCACTATCTCATGGCTGGTCGAGCTGCTTGTGGATACACTTACTTGAGGACAAAAGTTTTTTCTCACACTGACTAGATAAACTAATCATTGTTTCTAGCCATTAGTTTTCTTTCTTGTTAGATTGGTCGTAAAAAAATCTGATGGAAATCGAAGTTTTACATTTGTTTCATCCAGTTGTTTTTATTAAACTTCACATCTACTACAAGTTCTTCGACCTTCGTGGCATGTTTGTGAAATTTCTGTGGTTTATCTGCTGCAGTGGCCAGTTCAAGTTGAGTTGTTTCATCAGAATTTTGGAGTTTAATCATAATCATAATAGTCATGAAATTGTTTCCAATCTAGGATTACCATAATATAACAGGGTTATTACACCATTTCAAAGCCTATTGAAATGTTAGTGTCATTTTTTGAACAAACTGTATTTTCAATTGAAAGTCAAGAAATATTGCATGCTCAAATGTGTGTTCTTAAGTTTTTTTGAAATCTTGAAATTCCAATTGAATCACGCTCAAAATGGCCAAGTATAAAAAAAATTTCATTTATCGACAAACGACGTTTAATCGAATCGCATAATATGAATCGCGTTTATAAATATATTTAATCGAATCGCGTTTATAAATATATAGATTGGGACGACGCCATTTTATATCCTGAAAGAACATTTTTTTGGTGCCTCAAGGTTGTTTTTCTGAGTCTTAGGGTATCCTGAGTCGATAATAAATCTTGCAGGTTTTGTTGATAAGTGTGAGGTCATTTGAGTACTCGCAGATAACCCTTGAATGGGGTTGATATAGATGACTTCTAGACAGGGCAATGTTTTTGAGTGATTGCTAAAAGATGTCTTCAGATATTTTGAAAGAAAACTTTGGTCTATGATTTTTTTTCCAAAATAAGAGGCGATTTCTGCTGTTTTTGACTAGCACTGCAATGATAAAAAAGAATGGGGTGTAGGGTTGTTGTGTTTCCGTGTTTTGACTTAATTGATAAAAAAGTTGCATCAGGCCAAGATGCGTAAGTTGAAGTATGCGACAAGTGTGGAGAAGAAGAACTCTCTCAACTGTGACCTGGAGAAGGGGCAGAAATGCATGCTGTCCAAACTACAAGGTTTGGAAACACAATTTAACAATTACATACAGCACCATGGCCATTAAAAAAGGAGAATAAGGCAAATCAAATATTTGAAGAGAAGCTTAGTTAAATTTTTAAAGAAAGCTTCACTGGAGCTTGACTATACAATTGATTTCAGTTGGGCAAACTGAATTCTCTTACATAGCGTGGTGAGGGAAATTTGTTAAGATTTTGTTTTCTTTTTTCTTTTAGTTTTTTTAACAGCATGACATACTCCCTGGACCTTAAGGGTCTGCCTTGTTAATCATGGTTGCTAGAGGCGTACAAAGGATTAAATGCAAATCAAATTTTTGCATCAAAATTTCATTTTGCCTCAGGTATCGAGTATTTGCGGATTTGCTCAGGCCCAATTCGAAACATTTCTGATTAAGGTGTTGTTCTTCATGCAGTCGTTGTAGGATTTTTTAAGCCGCATCTTAAACAATTTTTTTGTAAAGCCTCAAAGGCAATCATTGTTAACAGGGGTCAAAAATAAACCAATATGACCAATTATAAATGCAAAATTCAGACCATGATATTGATCATCAGGGGCAGATTTAGGGGGAAGGGGCGGGGGGGGGGAATCGGACGCCTCCACCCTCCTCGGGGATTCGACCCCCTGCCAACCCAAAGGGTCTCCCCTTTGATACTTTTTCAGAAATCCATTTTGGCCGACCGACCCTAAAATTTTTCTAAAAGCGCCTTGGGCGTGAATATATACTAACTTTGAGGGGGAGCGCGCGCCAAAAAAAACGCGATTTTTTGTCAAAATTTTTCAAAAAGTGCCCAAAAACGGCCTTTTTGACTGTTTTTTCAAAAATTTTCCTGCGGCGCAGAAAATTTTTTGCCAAAATAGGGGCAAAAAAGTGCTTTGGGAGAGCTTGAAAAGTCAATTTGCTCGACCTAAAAAAAAAGGTCGTCAAAATTTTCGATTTTATTTTGAAAAATCGCCCCCCCCCCTCGAGAAAATCCTAGATCCGCCCCTGTTGATCATAATGTCAATATACTCGATTTTTTCATCAATCTATATACTGAATATCAATACTTTTGTCGAATTAATCTCTCTTGATTGATTTTTATTGAAGACAAAATCGGTTGTAATCCATTAAAAACAATCATATTCCACTTTCTTTCAATTACCAAATCAATTATGGAATGAAGGCTTCCCTGAACCAATTTGGAACGATTTCTAAGAACGATTAAATCCCCGATAGCGCCTAATATATCTCGAGTCAATTGTCTCAAATTGGCCGAAATGGTGAGCTTCAAACCCCTATAGCTTTACGAAAACTGATCACAGGTGAAATATATTTTCAAATTTAAGCTCAGGAAAACAACAGCTTTTGAATGATATAAAAAATTCCGTCAAAAATGGCTAGTTAAAAGGTCGAAATTTGTGAAGAAAAAAACACACCCCGAGCACAAACATTCCGTTACTTTCGTTACGAAAGTCGGAACAAAAACTTCGAAACTTTTGCGTACATTACATCAATACCATCTTAAAAATTTTAATATTGAAATTAAAATTGTGAAGGTTAAAATCTAATTTAAATTGATTTTAATCAATTATTTCGCACTTTTGTATATGCTGATTATAGGATTACAGTATAACTGATTATGATTCATGTTCGCCATCCCTGTTCGCCATCCCCGTATAGGTGTGCCATCCCCGTTCCTAAATCTGCTACTGATTGTTAACAAAATTTAAAAAGCGATAAAAACTCTCACTTTTTGTGCAATTTATTATTGAAATTGAATTTTAAAAAAGCTAGTGCAAATATTTAGGTGAAATTGAGGAGGTGGGAGTAAACTTCTTCAACGATTTTCCTCCTCTCATTCAATTGGCACAGATTTTATCCTACTACAGGTTTGGCCCTATTAATTTAAATAACAGATATCGGCCCATACAGATTTTGTCCTTTATCCAACAGATTTCATCCTGTTTAGGAATTTCAAGGTATTTGCGCATTATTTAGTTAATTGCGTCCTGTTGTGATTTGAAGCATTGAATTTGCTTTGTTTATATTTATTGTGAAATGCATTTTTTTTTAAATTACTTGCTTTTGAAAGAGCACACTTTAAAAAAAGTAGGACTTCCAAATTTGTACTTCCAATTTTTTACTTCCAAATTTGTGGGACGAAATCTACTGACTTTCAAAAATGTGGTACGAAATCTGTTTGCGCTTTGAAATGGGACGAAATCTGTTGAAAAAATTCTGGGGCGATATCTGTCATGGGACGAAATGCGTCACAGCCCACTCATTCAGCCATTAAAAAGTCACCCTTATCAAACATTTATATTCTATCACTTCCATCACTCCTCTTGAACGTGAAGAGTGGTTATTGGAAGAATGGCAATTGTGCTAAAAATCAAATAAAATGTTACACTGCTCTGACATGAAAAAAAAACAGAATATTTAAATATAAAAGCTAACGTGAAACGTAAGAATAAATGAAACGTAATACGTAGCAATTGCATTGAACTGGAAATGAAACAAGACTGCTCGTATGATCCGACGGCCTTTTAAGGTCTATGGAGCAGTAATAAAATTGTTGAGGTTAAAATTCATTTTTAATGGATTCTAATCAATTACTTTGCAATTTTCTAAATACTGATTATAGGATTACAGTATAACTGATCATGATTCATGTTCGCTCGGTTTAGGTGGGCCATCCCCGTTCCTAAATCCGCTACTGATTGACAACAAAATTTAAAAACGTTTAAAGACCTTCACTTCTTGAGCAATTTACTTATGAAATTGAATTTGAAAATACCTTATAGTGCAGTCAAAATTTTCAGGGCTTTGCCTTGATAAGAGCAGATTTGCTTCATCACCTAGCTAAAATCTACGCATGAGCGTTACAAAAAAACTCAACAAAACTCAACAAAATTCGCTCATCAAAACACCTAAACGCACCAACGGATTTAGGGGGGATTTTCAGGGATTCGAACCCCTGTTGACCCAAAGGATCCCCCTTTGAACTATTTTGAGATATCCATTTTTGGCTGACTGTTCCCAAAATTTCTTCAAGGTCGCCTTGGGCGCCAAATGACGCTAACTTTGAGAGGCGAGGGCGCACCGAAAAGACACAATTTTTTTTGTCAAAATTTTCCAAAAAGTACCTAAAAACGCCCTTTTTGGCCTTTTTTTTTAAAAAAAATTTGCCTGCGGCCCTGAGCATTTGGTCGAAATGGGGTCTTTATAGTGAATTGGTACAGATCAACAAATTTTTGATTTTTTTTGAAAACCTGCCCCACTCGAGAAAATCATAGAACCGCCCGTCTAAACGCCGGGGAAAGTACACATAGGAAAATTTTTAACCAGTCAGCTTTTTAATAGATATCACCTGTTAGTCAAATAATCTATATTTTCCGAGAAAGGTTTTTTTTAGTTTCAGCTAAATTTTTCAATTATTTCGAGCAAAATTTGATCTGTTGTTTTCCTAAGTTCTGGTTCGTCACTTCAAAGATGTCGACAAAGTTGAGAAGATGAACCTCTACTACTCCTACTCCAAAGTCAACTTTTCTCTACAGCAACTGCAGTCAGCCGAAGAAGCTGGAAACAACGGCTGGTTCTGGAATGTTGGGTTTTTCTCCAAACCAGTCAGTTATTTTCTATTGTAGCGCCTGATTTTTTTCCAATTACTTTTCTAATCCTATAGAATATCTTCTTAAATCAAAATGACGGCAACAATATTATGTAAGGAGAATAGTACGCCATTTTAAAATTAGGAAGAACATGACCAAATATATCCGCAGCAGCTAAGGTTTTCCCGAACTTCACACTTAATCAATCAAAGGTTTTGACAACTAATTTACTGAGTTAGGACCGATGGGTATAACTCATAGAGTAATTTCGGATAGGGTACACCGTCTGCTCGTCACGCTATCTTATTTTCGGCCGGATAGGTTCGTGCAACTTCTTAGTCTAATACCGATCCTAATCTTACTCTTATACTGTCTAGTCTCAGGTTGTTTAACTAGTCTCTGCTAGGCTCAATAGATCTAGGGTATACTGGTTTATTGCGGCTGCTGAAGTACTCGGGAGAGTTCAACTAATTTCTAAGTTAAATTCAAATCTCTCTGGTGCTGAAATTACAAGTAATTTCAGCACTTACAAATAAGTGGATTGTTAGTTAGATGGATCATGATTGGTTAATATTAAATACTTTACATTGGTAAAATATCTAATTTATCCAATCATAAAATGTAGTTTAGATCAGGTTCCACCCATCCGGGTTTTACAGAGTTTTTTAGAATAGTCTTTCTGCAATTCAAAAGATGGATGATGGACGTTGGTATTTGGCGAACATCTTATTTCTTCTGGGTGTTCTTATTAGAGAAGTCCCAGATTCAATCGTTGTGTCTTCTCAAGACAACGACTGGGTTTTCGCAACAAACTCAAATCTGATTTCAGAATGGTTGGCTATGTCAGGTTTTTCTGTTTCATTGGTGAGAACTTCTTTGTGTTTGACCTTGTCTGGGAATGGCGTGGAGATTGTGCGTGGAGGGGATGCCTGGTTACTCGGATCTGTACGTATACTTGAACATCGAGGTGGTCAGTGTTCTAGTTCAATGAAGTCCTTTTCTGCGAAGTCAAGTCGTACTCTAAATCCTTTGAGTTGTGATTGTGGGCGGCATATTGATTGTAGTTGGCCATTCTTTCTCGAGTGTAGTAGGGTCGTTTTGTCTTTGGATGTTCGTCCTTGGTGTTGTATTCTGATCTATGTATTGCATAATGTAATTTACATTTTATAAAACTTTTATTAGTTTAATATTTTTTAATTATGATTTTAGTTAGTTGTTTTCACAAAAGCTTTTTGTTTTAGTTCAGTTATTTTGAAGAGTTACTCACCCTTGAGTAGCTCTTATTAAAAATAGGAGTATGGTCACAAAGCGTGGATGTAGCGCGGTGGGTTAGGCCGGCTATAGAGCATGCTCAGGACGTCCTCTCTGGTGGGTTAGGCCAGGAGTGGGAGTATGATTTCGTGCGGTTTCTGTGAGAGGTCCTGTTATGTGATAACGTTTTATGTTGGGTTTATTGTGGTTTTTCTTATGTTTCGTTGGTTGTGTCCTTTTTTCAAAAATCAAATTGTTTTTGGTATGGGTTTGTCTTTCGACTTTTTTGTGTTTTATTATTTCTTTCTTAGACTTTATAATAGTCTTCAAAAGAATAAATTATCCAGTTTTAAACTGGGTTAATCCGGTTTGGGTACCGTTGGTTTCCTTTTCTTAGTCATGCTGTTATGCTATGTGTTGTGGTGTTTAGTAAGCTGCATTGGTTAGTTTTGTTTAGTATATAATTCCTTTCCAACCGGGTTAAAGGAAAGTTTGAAACGTGTTATCTTGTGTTAGAGTTATCGAGTGTGAAAGCTTGAAACTGAAATTCATTATTTTAAACAATTCTTCGTGGGCGAGCTGTGCGAGTTTTGATAGAATTCTTGTGCGAGTGAATGAAAATAGCAAAAGGTTAGTACTGTATTTGTTTCTTATTAATTTACTACATAGAATTTTATCTTTACTGCTAGTTGTTGGGGAAAATTAAGTTACAAATTTTCATCATTATTAGATTTACTGCTTGTGGGGGAAAAATTTATAAATTAATTTACTGCATTGGTATTATATTTATTTAATTGTTGGTGCAAAAATTTAATAGGGTTTTAAACAGTTTTGAAGAAGTTTGCTATTTTTTATTTTTCTTTTGTGAATTTTTCAGATGATCTAGGATGAAGGCTAAAATTCTAAAGAAAACATGGATAAAGAATGGTGAGTTTCTAATATTTAAATTAGTTAGTAATATGTATAATTCATACTTACCTGTTAGTCGTCGGGGAAGAAACCGTGGGGGAAGATGTCGTGGATGAGATCTGAAGTTGTTAGTAATTTGGCTAAGATGCGGATGATATTTTTAGTTTGAAGCAGTGGCCAAAGCAATTGAAGTGCCTTAATGGTGGTTAGTTCTTCAGTGCCAACTGCAAATTCATAAGGTGTGTTTTGGATTAGATTATATAATTTGTGGTTGAATTTAGTGTTATGGATGAATTCTAAAATGGGGATTTCTATAGGTTGTACAAACTCGTGTGGGATGAGGAAGGGTCGGGATTCTTCTGCGTTGAAGGTCTTGGTGATGGGACAAAAGATATACATTTGGGTTATGGGATCATAATTTCGAAGAATACCATGAAGGTTAGTATCTTTAATGCAATATGTGAAGTTAAGAAAGAATGGTGAGGTGTATTTGGAATTGATGAATTGAAAACGATGGTGTGGTTGTCTAGAGGGAGTGTGTAGGTCAAAGTGATTTTGGATGAAACGATAATAAGTATATGTGTGTGTTTGTTTAGTGCGCAACATAATATCGTGTGAGCAGTGCAAATCTCTTTCATGTGGTGCAAGGAAATGAAAGGTTAGTGAAAATATTTGGAAGCGTTCTTTAAAACTTTCGTAGGCTTGCGTGTCTGTTAGTGCTTCTGAAATAATGTGGTCAAACTTGCGATCGAAGATATTTAGTGTAAATACATATGGTGTTTTAATGAAAAATTTCTCGGTGATTTGTGGGTTAGCGAAGCGATCGTCGTCTAAGAATTGATCTTGGTTAGTTCTGATGATGTTATGATCGTAATATTCTAGTGTATATTCATTAGCTCGGGGTGCAGTGTGGGTTTTTAGTGATTTTTTATATCCAATGTAAGTAAATTGTCTAGGTGTTAGTGTTGTAGTGAGTCGATATAGCATGTCCTTATTTCGTTCTATATCGATATGAGTGTTAGATAAAGGTAAGCAAAGGGGATTTTTAAAATGATAATATGAGGTCCAAGGAAGGGTAGGCATTAAAACGTATTCGTCTACAAAGTTACGTGTCTCGTTAGTGTCATGAGGGGTGTTTAAGGTGTATTGTGGAAATGAGGGTAAGGTGATAGCTAAAAATTCTTTTGTGTTAGTGTGTTGTGGATGGTTGATATATTCACGGACTGTTCCTGGTTTCGCTGGGAAAGGATGGTTGGGGAACTTCCTTTTAAAAGTGCGGTAAGCTCTATTAGTGCTGAGTGAAGATTCAGTAGTTGTGGATGATGGTGCTAATGATTCAGTATAAATTGAAGAGGGTGTAGGGGTAGGAGGGTTGGATGAATCTATTGTGGATGAGATTTGGTTTATGGTTGGGGTGTCAAGGTGATAGGGTTGTTGTTGTAGGGTAATGAAATTATCTAGTTCTGGGGAGATTCGGGGGGTGTCTGGAGAATGAGATGATTGGTCTGAGTGAAGTGAGGAGTAGGTTGGAGTGACTTGGGAAGCATAAGAGGGTGTAGAATTGGTTGGGTCAGGGTTATTTGGTAGTATGGGTTGAAAAGGGGGTTGGGAAAAATTTAAGGAATTGGTGTGAAAATTATTTGATGGAGATGGTTCAGAGTCGGCAAATTCATCGGGGGTTTCAATATTCGGGTTATTGAGTTGTGAGATGGAGTATAAAACTGAGATGTGTGAATTAGTATCGGAATTCATGCCGGATGTTACATTACTGGATGGGAAATCGGGTGGCGGAAAAGCAAAAAGTGGTATTATTGGGATTGGAGTGGTGAGGTTGGTTGGGTGGGAATTTGATCGGTGTAGGGATCCAAGTTGTCGGCTCATCGTGGGCTAAAAAAAATATTATTTTGAGACTGAAAAGCGGTGGTATGGGGTTGTTCTATAATTTGTTCATAAGTATTTTCATCTTGTGAGTGGTGTGGCATTATATGTTGGATGGGACTTTGTGATATGGTTGGTCTAAAATTATTATGTGTTATGGCTAAATTTCGAAAATTACGTGGGACTAGGGATAATGGATGGTTATGTGGTAGGGGTGGTAACTGTGGTGCTGTTGGTGTTGTGTCTGCATTGTTATGTTCTTCGTCGTATGTGTTCTGTCTTGTTGCTATTTTTGTGTTATATTCTTTTATTTGTGCGTCTAAAAGAATTTTGTTTATAGATGTAGAAAATATTCCAAAAAATCCTGCAAATAGTATGCGTGCTACACTTGCTTGTCTATTGACTTGTGTGTGTATAGCACATGTGTTATAGATTCCTTTTAAGAGTGAAAAAAGAAATCCAATAAAGTTAAACATTGCGTATAAAATAGTCAGTTTTTCTAAGATATAGTAGGGCCATCCTAGAAAATCAAGAATTTCATTCTTAAGTGTAACAAAGCTAAAAATATTGATAGGTGATATATCTTGGGGACGGTATTTTTCACCGTTTAGATATATATAATCTTTAATGTCCTTAAAATATCCGCTATAGTCTTGCGTATAGATGTCTGCAAATCCTGCGGTTTCGGCAAGTTTGCGTAAGTTTTGGTCAATTGATTGTCTTTGTATTGTGTCCATTTGTGTTAATAATTCCTGGAATTGTTGTGTTCTAATGTGATGTTGAATATCTGATTTTGAGTATATTCCTATTGATTGTAAGTCTATATTTGGGTTTCGAGCGATAGCGCGAATGCTTTCTGGTGAAAATTTTTTGAGTGATTGCATTAATGTGGGATATGGGGTGAGAAGGTAATATTTATCTTCATCAGGGTTTAGTTGTACTACGTTGTGGCTATTTTCTGATCCACATGGAACTGC